TATTCTAAATAGCATGTCCAAACTGGAAATTAACCCAATTTGGTTTAAAATTATGCATAGGGATTAAACAGAAAACACTAAGATGTCATCTTTAAAAAATCAGCCTTCTGTCAGCACTTTGAAATTTCTTTCCCTATGCAAAACAGGTACTTGTAACCTGCCAGATCTGAGCCTCTGGTAGAGTCAAGACACAGGACACTGATTCTATACCAAGTAAAATGCCTCAGAAATAATCTTTTAGCACTGAATTTGCTAGATTACACTTTAGGAATGCCCACAAACATAAAACGCTATTCTGCAGTACAAGAACGTTGGGCTAATGGAAAATGATCAGTATGAGAAAGGGACCTAAAAGCAAGGACTGGTATTAACACAGCCTACCAAGCTACTATGTGCTGCATCAACATTTTGGTTTGTTCTTTTACTAGCGAAGTCCTAGTTTGCCTAGGTTAATACTAAACTTCCTATGCTACATCCTGTAAAAGCACAGATGTCATGAACTCTTTGGTTATCAGATAACAAGTTTACAACACATGTACCATTTTTTAACTCCCTGATGTTTTATATGTGAAAACTTAGAATTCTTTTGTGTGTTTATGGGTACCAAAATTATTTCAAGGTACAGAAAAGAAGCAGTGTGAGCATCTGTTAAGGAAACCTGAATGCTTTACTTAGCATTGCTTATTCTATAACATTTCTGTTTTGCTGACTTTTAACAACAGACATCTCATCCTCAAGCTGTGAGATCTGTGTATCAGTATTACCAATGGAAGCTCACCTTGCTCAGCATATCCCTTTCCCTCATAAGCGCATCTGTAACTTTCTTGTCAGTCTCTGCCTGCTTTTTGGCTGCCTCCAACTCTAGAGAAAAGGAGGAAAAAGAATAAATCCTGGGTTTAAAAGCTGTTAAAAATGCAGAAACAACTTACTGGACTTTTTAAAAAGCTTTAACATTACTTGAGCAGTTCAATTAGATGTGAACAGATTTTACAACCTCAGATACCAGCTAATGATATTCATATTTATTTAGGACCTTTGAATAACTTAGAAGAACTCAAGCACAGTAATTAAGGATATTACTTATATCCTTATAAGGTAAGATACCACAAAGAAACTGTATTTTCAGAAATCATGGACCACATGGAAAATCAGAGCCTTTTAAGAAGCTTCAATGAGAGCATCCAAAAATTGAGACACTTCCAAAAACCGGGACTTTCAGAGTTATTCAGATCCCTCTTTGTGAAATCCAGTTCTCCCCTGAAGCAGTGAGATCCTACAAGCTCCAGTGGAGTTAAAACTACTTGGTATGGGTCAAGATTAACACTAGACATGTACTATTAAAAAGATATTAAAAATGGAGATGTGTTTTCACTACATTTTAAAATTAAAACCTGCTACACTAACACTGAAACTGAGGAAATGCAGTCCGTCAGAGTGCTAAGGTGTGTTATATATTGCAAAAAGACATGTTATTAATAGCCATTCTCAGGCATTCCCATACAGATTTGAATTTCCTAAGTTACTTTCTCCTTTCTAGTACAGGGCATGACCTTAAGCAGTACTAGCAAAATGCTTGTGGGAAAGTTTTTCCACCCTCACAGAGATGCAGTAAAAACAGATACGACTTTCCATAAATACAGTAATATGGAATGCTTCATATCTCATACACGCAGTTTCATCAGGACACAAGCTAGAAACAACCAAGAGCAGGGAGGGGATTTTATGCCAGAATATATCAATTTTAACTAGATCAAATTTATAGCAAAGGGGTTTTTTTCTGCCCCAAAAAGCAATCTCATCAACTCTAATATTTTGCCAACTTCATAAAATTAGTTGAGGGAAAAACCCATAAAACTGATGAGGTTTTTTTCTGATAATCACTTGGAAAATCTGTCTATTTTTATTTCAAAACATATTTGATTTGGAAATTTATTTGTATTTTAAAGTCAAAAGAAATAGAAGTGTTTTTAAATACTAAAAAACACCCCAAAAGTTATCTATTAAACTTAACCACAATAATTATAATCAGATCCAAGGCATTTTCTTCAAAAATTTCCATTTGGCAAAAATGTTAAAGGTTCCTCCTTGAAGTTTTTCAGATCTGCTAGCAAGTCAAAGTCAATACCTGGACAGCTCTAGTATCCAGACTGACCAGCTGATATCCTAAACATACCAGAACTACATTTATCAGCTCACTTGCACATATTCATTTCCAGGATGTAACTAATCAGCACAACACAGGAAAAAAATGTGTCTTAGTAGTGTCTGATTTCAGTAAGGACTGAGATTGCTTCTCTCTCACAGGTTTGAGCAGAAGCAACAACAATGCATTGAGGACAACTCTCTGTTTGCCCTGGCACTAACTGGCACACCACAAAGTTCAGTTCTGTGTTCTTTTGCTGACCACTTGCCCCAGTAGGTGGGACAAGGCCACTAGTAGTGGCCTTGTAGTACATACAGGAAAGACTTCACCACCCCATCCCAAAGTACGCAGGAAAGATACGAGGTGGCTGGCCACCAGAGGAATAAACAGACCCATGCATTCACTCACAGTATAGGATGCAGCAAAGAAAGGAGCAAGCCAAGTCAGAAACCAGGTTATGGGAGAAGGAATAAGCCAGGTCATCAGTCCAATTCCAATCATATACTAATTGCCAAGGAAAAGCCATATTACATACATAATCCTCTCTCTGTCCTGGTCTTGATCTTTTCCCAACATTGCTGGAAACTCTACTTACAGTGGACAGCTGGGGAGCCCTACCAATAACTGGAAGCCCTACACATTACATCTACTATACAGATACAATTCCCAACACCACTGCAAGCAGAGCCAACTTTTATGCTATTAACTTTGAGGCAGGACAAGATGTTAATGTTGAAGGCAGGGGCAAATGGTAGTGGTCTCCTAATTGGTTCCTACCTGGGTGAAAAACAATCAGGAAGGCCTTTCTTGCCTGGTTGTGGACATCATCCATGTGCCAACCCTCATTCAGGGCTGGGGGTTTAAACCCAGCACTTCATGTGTACTGTATTTTTACCCCACATATGCTACATTATGAAAATTCTGTAAGCCTACAAGTATTTTAAAATGCTGCTGTAGATTCCAGCTGTGATTTATACAGTCTCATACTAGACACTAAAGGATGATGTTCCTAACAGGAGGATGAACCTGTAAATTATGAAGCACAAGATGGATCCACCCATCAGTTAGACACCTACCTTTCTCCAACCCAGATATTTGATTTTTTAGGGTGTTTCTCTCATGTGCTGCATCAACTTTTTGTTCTTCTGCAACACGCAGCTTATTCTGGAGAACTTCCCTTACTTTATTCACCTTTGAAATTTCAAGGCGTATCTGAGTCACTTCATCATTTCTGGCCTACAGAACAGCAACAAGGAAAGGGGAGAGAAAGTATTCACAGAAAGAAAATGCCTCTCTACTTGATGTCTACTTATTACATAAAATTCAGGAACCGAATGTATAAGAGTTATGGATCATCTGAGAAAAGATAATCATCTAACTGAACAATATTAAAAATCATTTAAATAAATCCAGCTAAGGCAATGAAAATGATAATCAAATCTTATGCTTCAGATGATGATCAATAAAGAAGCCCCAGCTGCAAACTTCACAGATCACTACCCAATTACTCCTGCAGATTAAACACAGAAAGTTCAAATTTCATTTGAAGTATTAAGGACAAAGACTGTGATGAGAAAGATACTGCTAGCATGGTCTGAAACCCTGTCCCTAATAGCAAGTATCTCTTATCCTCATCTCTTTTATAAATGATCACTTTAAAGAAAAAGCAAAATCTAGAGTTTATCTCATTTGCTATACAATCTGAGGAGAAAATAATGAATCAAAACACTACATAACAGGTTACCAAGAAATAAAACCAATAATCACAATAGAAATTGGTCTCCTTCCTATTAAGAAGTAAATATAACTTCCTCATATACTTCAGTGCCACTGCTAGGCTTTGCAGCCATCACGGACTGCAGTGTTCCACTTACAACCTGGGATACCAATTCTGTGAGACGGTGAATCCTGCCCCGTGAGTATCCTCCAGGAGGATGTGAATCTCCTCAGTTCTTACTGACAATAACTTTCAAGAGATTTATGAGTGCTTTCACAGTTCGGGTTGCCCAACACCATAGTGGAGGCACACAGCACACTGTAGGATGAAATTGCAAGCATAGTGCCTACAAAAGGGCACCTCACATCATGCCTGGGGCTCTTAGAAGCTTTAGCAGCTGGCTTAATTACTAACTGGGCAGTATTTTTTTTTTTTCCCCAAAATCTGTTCATTCTTCCAACTTTTCCTGAAGTTAGGATAAGATCATAGAATCAAAATCCTACTTTTGACACTCTAGAGCTCCAAATGTAAGTAATTTGAACACACTGTAAAGTTTTAAATAATAATGGTATTGCTAGAAGTAATGATAAAACCAGATAACTTGGAAAAGACAGGTATTTGTTTTTCAAATAGGTAAGACAAATATCTTCCAGTTTGCTTAACAAAACACAGCAGAAAAGAAGTTCCTATCATACAGCCCATTAAGGATCCAAATTAGAATCATCTTTGTTGTATTAGTTATGAACTCAGCTTTCTGTTAGGAGTTAGTTTTTATCATACTGCCTAAAAGTTCCCTTCAAAACAAAACAACAAAAAAAACCAAACCAAAACAAACCCTCTGCAATGGTAAGCAAACTTTTTATTTAGGTGAATTGGTTATACTTGACTAAACCTTGATAAGATAATGATTTTCTAACTGAATCTTATATGTTTATATTTTTAACCCAAATGATGATACAAAATGCAAGATATAGTAGACAGAGTAATAATATCTAGCAGTTACCCTTTATCACAAATGTTCTTAAAGTATCCTATAAAAGCATATGCACAAATCATTTAATCCTTCCCAAACTGAAACTCATCCACTTCTGAGTGGTTTACTGCAAAAAGAAAAGTCATTGTTCTTATTTTAAGTTCTTACAATCAAAAAAAAAGACCTTATGCTTGTCAAAATTACCGTATGTCCTTTAATGAACACAATATGTTGAGCATTTTGGTTTCTGTGTTTTATGAAATGCAGCTCTCCCAGCAGGGCAGGTACTACACTGTCAGGTGACAGAGTTGGAGACTGCACCATGGTACTGCCACAGAAAGAGTGGCATCCAATGATAGCCAGATCTATTCCTAAAATTCCTCAGATTTCTTCCAAAACTACCCACAGGGAGCTACCAGAGAAGAACTGAGGTCATGCCTTTCCCAGTGGTAAGATTGCCATCAGAGTAATATGGCTGACAGGATGCAGGCACCTTCTGGTACTTACTTTCAGTTCTGCTGTCTTCTGCTGGATGTCCCGCATCACTTCTTCAAACATCACACTGTTCTGCTCACTCTCTTGCAGGAGTTTATTATTTCTTGTCTGAATTTCCTCAAGTTCCTTACCAACTTTTTCATTCAAGATCTGTTAGATTAAAGAACAATCCTATTAAGTCTTTGTAATCTCATTACAATAGCTACATATACATAAAGACAGAACTTTCCATCCCTCCAGGAAATAAAAGCTGCTACAGATTGTTGTCTGCTTTTTTGTCACCAGTCTTTACTGGTGATGAAACTACTAATGTGAAATATGATAAATGTCCTTATTGACTAGGGGAAGTGATAATTTCTAATGAATAATACAGCCAGTGTTTTTTGTTTTGCTTTGTTTTGTTTTGTTTCTGGGAGCTTAGCACATCTCTCTTAGAGGTGGTAGGTAGATATTTTGCTTCTTGTTAGGCATTTGGCAAGCATCAATAACACAACTTGGTATATATAATTACTGAAAATGAGTATGAGATTCAAATTACTTCAATCAGCAGAGGGCAGGGGAGCTCTGTTTCTTAGCAAGAAAATCCTACATTAATATGCTGATAACATTTCTCTGGGTACATGGTTTGCTGAGACCAGGACACAACCATTTTCTTCTCTAATTTGTCTCCAGTCAAAAGCCTTGAACAGCAGTTTCATGGTTTCTATGGAGAACTTATTCTTCAATATTGAAGCTGCCAATCTTATTCTGTTTAATGGGACTTCCCCCTACAGGTACTACGCCATAAATGAGGAAAACACAACCTCCCTTCATTCATATTTTTCACTTCAAACATTAATCTGTGATAAACCGATGAAGTCAACATGTACTATGCTCTGAAACATGAAAGGAAGAGACGTGGAATATCTCTCTTCTACATGCATGAAGAAGCAAAGACAAAGTAAAAGAAAGCAAATACCAGGATAACACCATGTTTCAGATGATCCTTTACTGGGACTTGGACATGGGTGGGATGAAGCCTATAGTAGCTGTATCAAACCATCTTTGCTGTCAGCAAGCAAGGATATTTTATTAGAAATTTCAGTGGAATAATAGCAGGCATCACACCCAACTACAATTCCATTGAGAAACCATAACCTGATCACATTGCAGTAGCGGAGTCACCTTCTCTTGCAGACTCTACCCTGAGTCTTGCACAGCTGGATAGCCTGTGTTTTGGAAAGACTTTTTGCAAAAGACAATGCAGAGCCTCAGACACCTTCTAGCCAGCACAGGCGATGACATTAGTCTGGTTAATTAGCCCAGGCACAGCACTTTATGTGAACTACTGGTTTCCAGGATAGTTTGGGCAATTGAATGCCACTAAAAGCTGTACTTGGAAAGGTTGAAAGGGACAACAGAGAGAAGATGGAAGAATGGAACAAAGCCAGGCATTTTAGACCTCCTATTTAAAAACAATGGGATTGTGCTGGCAGATCATGGAGCTGCCTTCAAAGGCTGCATCAAATCAATGGTATCAGTGTATTTCTTTACATGAAGTATTTTTATACATATTCTGTGTTGACAAAAAATTGTCACGGACCACTACCTTCACATATTCAGGGACCTGAAGGGAAAACATAGCCATAAAAGTCACATATTTACAAGAAACACACAACTCCCAAAGAAGTTTTCCTTAAGGTAGGACTGTTTCACAGTGATGAGATCTCCCCTGCCATTTACTGAAATTGCTTCTCTGAGAGTTTCTCAAAGTCAGGGGAAATGGACTGAAAACCTGAAAATTCAAACACTTGCAGAACACTGTGTTAGGACTTTTCCAGATAAAGTTTTTAAAAACAGAAAGGGGAAAATAAATCATAAAGGTTTACAACAACATTTCTCTGCCCTTTCACAGAAACTCTCCCACAAGCTTGAGAGGTAGATAAAAATTATTGTGACAGAGAAGAAGGAAGGAGTTTGAGGTAAAATGACTTTACCCATGCCACTACAGTCAGTCAGTGGCAAAACTGGCAACATATGTCAGAAGTCCAACCTGTCAGTCTCCTGTTACTATCATCAGATCATCCATACTCTTCACAGACTTTCTCATTTGCTGTGATCTTTTCAAGATGATTTCTACAATATCATTGTGCTCCACTACTGATTTCTGTGAGGAGTTCTATCTGAAATGTGAGCAAGCTTTACATATTTATTTATTAGTAAGGTATAAGTATTCATTAAAATTTCTTGACTTAATATAATCTTCCTCCCTCATCCTTCAGGAATTTTCTTCCTATTTTGACATCTGACCCTAATCTTTGACCTGATGAAAAGAGTGTGTTGTGTACCCTACCTTCTGCTCTTGTAGATGCTCTTCCATTTTCAGTTGTTCCTCTTTGTTCTTCTCTATACGTTGCTGTAAATTCTTGATCTCAGCTTTCTTGTTATCCATTTCAGTTAGAAGGTTTTTCAGCTCCTTCTCCATTTTTTCCTTCTTTCGAGCCTCTCGTGATGCCTCATTTTGCTGTAGCTGGATTTCTTGCTGAAGCTATAATAATAGAGAAGGAAAAAAAGTTTCAAATTCTGCTCTTTTATTCAGGAAAACAAGGTCGCTCACCTCTCCTTTTGCTATGCTTGATTTTGAAAACAACAGCTTCTATACTACTGTGCTCACTATGCCACAGAATATGCCAGGTCTTGTCAGAAACAAATGTGTTCTCTAGTGGTTGAACAAACAATCCGGCATGAGGAAACCCACTTGTTGATAATACGCATTTGTTAAGCACCAGTCAGCTCACCCACACAAAAGGGTCTGATACTGTTCAGACACAAAAGCATTCCTCTGGAGATGCAGTGGGACAAGTGTATTTTCAGTTTTAAGTTACCTGTAAAGTTGTACTTCCTGAAGCATTAAAATTAATTTGGCCTTGATGTTGTATTGCAAGGATTTTTATTTTTATCTTTCTATCTCACCAGCAGAAACACTTATTACACTGATATTAAAGGAAAGAGAGAGATGTCAGACCAGTGTTCATTTTCACCACTGTTCTCAATCTTTCTGCTTTCAAAGTTCCTGTGTAGGAACTTTGAAAGACAAGCTCTCATATTTAATAAACTGTCTTGTGTCTTTTGTTCTCTCCCTCCCCAAAAATGGGATGAAGCAGAATCAGCAGAGAGGAGACGCAGGGGGTTGATCCACATGGAAATATTCAGTTCAGCCAGGGACCAGCAATTTAAAGATGTTCTTTGCTTAAAGATTCCTCTCCCTCTGAGCCCACAGATGAAAAGTTGCCAAAACTGACAGGGTCTTCAACAGGATCTTCAAAAAGACATCGTCATTTAAGCAGTGTGAAGTGGAGAACAATTTTATACTGGGCGAATGGGAGGTGGTTACAAATGCTGTGAAGGTGAAGGCTGGCAAGATTCAATAAATCTTGGTGGGAGTTTCAATCCTCTTTTTTCTTCCATGCCCACAATGCTGTTAGAAAAGCAAAGATTTACATTCTCTTGTAATACATTCCCACCCATCTGCTTTAGAAACAGAAAGTTCTGTGCATGAAACCTAGGCTGATCATCACTTTCCTGTTTGTGATTAATAAAGAACTATAAGCTAAATGCTGCTTCTGTCTCTTCTCTGTTCTTTAAGTGTTCTTTTCTGCTTTTCCTTTCTGCTGTTGTCTTGCTCCAGCCCCTGTTTATATTCTGCTTTAAATTACTTTATTTCTCATTATTATGTTTTTATATTTTGATGTATCAGAGTTCGCTATCCCATCTTTCATCCTTGTCCACTTTCTCTCCATTCAGTGGGTATCTTATTGATCCTCAGACTTCTGAACCTAGCTGCTATACACATTAAAAGGAAGCTATACATATTGATCAGTAAAGAAGAACTGTCTACTCAGTCAGAAAAACAGAGAACCTAACTTAAAGAGGAGACAAAAAAAGTAAAGCTGAGATGGAATACAACTGCTGTCTACACACACTGGTGATGTGAAAAATTATTTAAGCTGAGAAACAGTAGGCAGGAAACAGTATGAAGAACACAGTAGGAAAGTAGGTCTCTAACCTTTAGGAAACTGAGGTTCTGTAAAAGCTTTCTGTAAGAAGTAGGGGAGAAAGTAGCCTAATTAGCTATTCATTCAGAATTTCATACATTCCTAAATTTGATGGTATGGCATCATATGACAACCACAGCCAACAGCAGGGCACCTGGGATCTCCATTCCAGGTCTATGTTCTAAGTGGCTCTTTGGAGGCATAAGGATGTACAATGTAGAAAAAAAAGCCCACATTTCCAGTATGACAGGTAGCTATGATTCAGGAACCTTGGCCTCATTCAGGGTATTGGAAAGCTATGGAAGCAGCTGGTACAGGACAATACACTTTGCAAAGGACATAGCCTAGAAGTAGAGAAAAATATAAAAAAGCACTCACAAGAGGCTCCTTTCCAAGCCTCTGAAAATGTTTGAGATGTAAAAGGACAGGTAGCAGCATACTAGTCAAGGGAGATCAATTGCAAGAGTGGAGAATGGTTCAGGACAAAGCCTAATATCATCACCTGGTGATCTGTACAGACCTGCATAATGGATTGTTCTGCCTCATTTTTAGCCCTTTCTGCATCCTGCTGCTGCCCTGTGGCATCAGTTAGACTTTGACGTAACTTCACAATCTCTGACAAGAGTTCGTTTCGCTCCTTTGTTATCTCTTCTTGAAGTTTTAGCAAATCCTGGGTGCTAGAAGCAAGGAAATAATAGTCAAGCAGTGTCACAGGCCATTTCTATTTTTCCTTCTATGCCAGATCAAGATGTTTGGTGAGAAACAGGAGTTTAAAAGTAATTTGTTTCATTTTTAATTCCTTTTGGACTAAGGCTCTACTGGTCAATTTAATTATATGCTCTATCTACTATGATCATAGTCACTGTCAACATAGGCAGCTTTAAAAGCTAACCCAGTCATATAAATCACTCTTGTTAAATCACATCCTTCATGAAGAAACCTACTGTTTCCCAGAAAGGTAACAGGGAACAAAATTCATTCTTCTCTGGCCATTGTAAAATTACTCAGGGACCAAAAATGTCACATTGTTGTAACCAGTCTCTCTTATCTTATCTATCAGCTTATCTGACAGGGCACCTAACTGGGTTACGTCTTGCAGTCATCTAATGTAAGAATAAAACAGAGGGTACCCTGTTTGGACACATTTACAATTTGAAAGAATGTCCAAGCAGTGTGGGTTCATGCTCAACCTTAAAAAATAGCCTTATAATACTAAAAGACTACAGGGTTTTCAGCCCTGAAAAGGAATTGTCTAGTACCATGGCTTTGTCACTGGACAGAGTATTAAACATGGATCTGAGAGCAGTACAGAATGAACTTCAAAAAGGATTTGTAAGTAGGCAGGTCTCAGCAGCCTGGGCAGCAGCTGGAAATGGCAGGAGTGAGGTCTTGGTGAAGTAAGGGCAAGGAAATGCACAAAGCAGCCACAAAGATCTGCTTTAGGGAGAATTATACTAGTACAGGGCTTAATGACCAAGGAAAATTATTACACAGGTCCAGAATGTGTTGGGGACAGACGGTGAAGGAGTGGATTTCTCATGCATCCAGGTTTATGTGCTGGCACATTCCTTGTAGGGGAAATGTTTGAACACACAAATGGCCTTGCTCACAGACACCAGTCTTATTTATGCAGGCTGGATACACAGTGCATGGGGAGCTGAGCATGCCCCATACACATCCTGAATGCATCACATAAATAAATTCCTTACACAGTGTCAAAATTTTAAGCCAGAACCAGCTGGGCCAACCATCAGCAATCTCAACAGAAACCACACGGGTCATAGGGTAAATATACTGAATATCTTTGAATTTAAACTTCATCTTACAGCATAAGCACAGTCAGAGGACCTGATAGCACAAACGCTAGCTTTTAGAGGGCTTTTGAGCAGCTCTTGAGGATCATTTTTCTTTGCACACTGCAGCAGCTAGTCGCTCCACCCGAGTCTAAGTCCCTCTATGCGTGTGTTCAGGAAAAAAACACCATAGTCTTGAAAAAGTATAAATATAAAATACAAACAAGAATATTGACAGTGATAATGCCTTATAATAAACAGAAGAGAAATCAAGTTTCCTGCCTCCTCGACTTATCTACTTGACCCTGCTGCCATCACATGTGAAAGTGTTAACAGGATCCTATTCTCAAAGGCAGAGAATATTGAAATGCTAGTCAGATAAAACAATATGACAGATACTGAGAAAGTGCATAATACTGATTTTTATTCGATCTCTCAGCTTAAACCAATGCTGAATGAACTTGCTCAGAGCCTGATTCTATACTTATTCATTACATAAACACATAGACCAATATATGTTCACTCATGAGAAAACTAAAAGGCAGAAAAGACCTTTCTGTTTTCCAGTGTCGAAGTGGCTAAACAAGGTGGAGAATGATAGAAAATCTGATCAGACTTCCCCCCTCCATGAGGAAAACTTACTTGTACTCTTGTTCCAAGGACTGTCCAGATCCTTGCCCCACTAAATGAGTTAGGCGTGCAATTTCCTTTTGCAGTGAATCAATCGTTCCCTTTGCTTTCTGTTCCTTTTCATAGGCTATATCCATCATTTTCCAGGCCTTTTCAATTTCCTAGGAATAAAATGGAAAACAATTACAGAAATTAAATTAGGTTGAAAATGAACAACAAATTAAAAATTAATCGCCTTGCATTTTGGTTAATCAAGAAAATAGATTTTCAAGCCTTTTCATGCATAGATTCACAACAGTTTTCTTCAATAGTTGTCTTTTCTTTTGGATGAGGGCACCATCATTTTGAGCCATTCAGGCTCTGTTAATTTACACTACAAAAGTTCTAACACATTTTCTTTAACACATAGATCTGAACATTATCAAATCTCACTCTGTGAGGTTTTGGACATGTGAGGCCCACTAATATCTAAAAATGTACTGAAAATTCAGTACCCAGAAAGGTACCACCTACATGAATAGCTCACTTATGTCTGTGAAAATCTTATTAACTGTCGTGACGATAAACATCCAATTTGATTTGGACACAAAAAAGATGTTACTCTTGGCTTTTCTCCCTCTTTGTTCATTTTTATCTCTGGAGACCTAGTGTATTCCAATTTTAAATGATAGTTAGACCAGCCACAATTCTCACAGCAACTTTCAGCACATGGAATTACTTGAATAACAGACTCGTGTGCCTCTCACAAGCCCAGGGTTTTATATCCACAAACAGGATAGGGGAGGAGGGTTCACCTAATTTTTTTAACTTCCTCTGCATGTCTCTCCCTTGAATCAGATCCTTAAGATTCCCACAGCAGGCTTATTCCTTGGCAGTTTCAAACCAAGCTCCTACCAGTTCTGGAATCCTGTGCTAAAAAAAATGTATAAATTGAGAAAGCGACTGGTCTAGAAGGAAAGTTCTCAAAGACTCTGTAAATAATGAAGACACTGCTTTTGACAATGGCAGTTCTTGAGCTGAAAATCACACCATGATGTCATCTCTCTCATCCTTTTTTCCCTGCTGACTCGTGGTGGAGTTCTGGACTTGATGGACTTCTACATTTTTAGCCTCCAAGTGCAGCTGTGCAGCTCTACATTAGCTCCAGTCTCCCAAGCAAATCCAGATAGAAGCATCATTACAGCAGGGCATAATATCCCTTTCTACTCCTACATCCTTTGAAACATCCTTTGAAAATGAGGCAGGGGAAAAAGAAGTTTTAAAATGCCTCCACATTGAAGAATATGAAATAATATAATTTACATCAAATTATTTTCAGCAGTTCTTTACTGAAATTAACATATTGGGTTATTAAAAAAAACCAACCCAACTATTTAGCATTAAACTCAAAATTATGACACCTGTATTATGGTATATTGTTAAGATATTTATTTAACTTCTTAAGATCAAATAAATGTAGTACTTAGCTGTTTACTGCCTCAATAAAAAATTCAAGCTATTGAACTCACAGAAGAAACAGGCTACTAGAATTTGCTGAAAAGATAACACAAAATATAACATCTGTAGCCTCTGCAAACTGAAGAAGGAATACATTTTTATTTTATTTATTCAGCTGCTTCAGCATATCCAAATTTGAGAGACCATCTGGAACTTAAAGATCAGGAATGTTTGTTTTGTTTTTTTTTTTTCCCCAACCTATTAATAATGAGTTTAACAGTGGGCTTTACTTGTGCAGAAATTCTGAAGGAGATTATAGTCTACTCAATTCACTACCTACAAACAGTATTTTCATTACTTAATAAATTACTTAGTTCAACATTTACTTTGAAAAATGTGCTTTTCACTTATGTATCAAGCATATTTAAACAGTTTAAAACATTAAGTTCAATTTTTGCATTCTATACATTTTCAGTTCTAATTTCCATTCAAATGCAGCAATGATCACAGACATAAAGGATTAAGTACCACCTAGTGAACCAATAAATTTTTCATTCTCTATTATCTTACATAAAAATGTTCAATTATGAAATTTAAATAAATGCATGCTAGGCTGAGGTAATGACATGAAGACATAGTGTATCATCTTGACTGAAAGAAAAGCCTAAAATACAGCTGTAAAAAAACATGTTTCAAATTTGCCATCCAATAAGAGGCAATCAACCTTTCTCTAGAAAAAATGTAAATGGAAAATAAGATTAAAGCTGATTACCCAAATCAAAGCTTCCTGCTGGCTGATTAGACTGTGATTAAAATTGGTGAATTAAATCATTACAACTGGAGTTTTGGGGGATAGAACTGATGAATAAAACCAATATGCCTTCTGAAGGGTCTTACTGGCTTCAGTGAGTATTTTGTTCTGGTAAGTACCTGCAGCAGCGATCCCCTGCAGTCAGTGAGGCTGTTCAGGTAAGCAGCGATTTCTTTTCAGTGGGTTCTTTATTGATAAAACCCAACTTTTGTCAATAAAGAACTCCAGAAATTGTGAAACAGAACTCATAAAATGTGACTGTCTTGCTTTATTTTGATTACATACTCTAAAAGATCAGATCAATTTCACTGCCAAAACAGAATTACTGAGTTTCCCCCGGAAACTGAAAACTCTGAAAATCCAATCAGGGCCGTACAAGCCCCTGTACATTCCCTTTCTAGCATTCTTCCAGTGCAGCCCTAGGGATCAGTATCCCTATCAGTGAAAAAGAGAACTGTATTCCCTTCATGTTCTGCTTGGCCCTCTGCTCCTTTGATGTGACTGTAAAGAGCAAACTATTATGTCCAGATTATTAAAGCTACAAAACAGAGCGCTGAACAACCAACAGACAGTTACCAGCTACTGATTATCATTGAGCTGGGTCCTACCAGCCACTGATATGTGTAGTTAACCTCTGCCCCAAAACAAATCCTGCTGATTACCACCAGACTTCACATGAAGGAAAATTTTGTTTGTGTAAATTTTATTTATATGTGAAATAATGATCTAGAAGAGGAAGGCTGAACACCTGTTACCCTGATGACCTATCAAGTCACCAAGATTTAGGGCCTTAATTTGAAGCAACTATAGCATTTTTACAGGAACAGCCCCACCAGACCTCTCCTATCTTTTATAAATAATGAAACAATGGAACAGATTGTTTGTTTAATTTAATGCTGAAGAATGTAATCTTTGTTATTTTAGCACTTGAACTTTCCTCAGCAGTTGCCTTGGGTGCTTGCAAAACATATTTTTTTAATGTTAGTAAAATTACAGTGAAATACTATAGCTAAAACTTCCCTTCAGAAAGGACAGTAACATGAAAAATGAAGGGAATATCAAACAAAACCCCAAAATATGACACAAACATTTAAAACAATATCCAAATAGTTCCTAAGCATTTAAGGGAAAGACCAATTCTCACAACCAAATTGGAAAAGTATCAGTGCTTTTTCCTTGGCTCATAGCACACCACTAGAACTTGAAACGTCACGTCATGCACTGCCCAGCGTTTCTAACAGGATCATACTGTCAAGCAGCTTTTTCACTACAAAATGTCTTAGCGGGTTCAATAGTAGATGGTATTGTTAAGCCAGACCTTGCCTGAGCTTCAAATTAGCTGCTGACCTTGGGAAAGGTTCTTCTTTAATGGCCTCAGGTTGCACCAGGGCAGGTTTAGGTTGGATATGAGGAAAAATTTTTTCACAACAAGGGATGTGAAGCATTGGAACACACTGCACAGGGAAGTCATGGAGTCACCATCCCTGAAGGGACTTAAAAGATGTGTAGACGAGGTGCTTAGGGACATGGCTTAGTGGTGGACTTGGTAGTGTTAGGTTGATGGTTGGATTTAAAGGTCTTTCCCAACCGAAACAATTCTATGATTTTTTCTGCTCTTCTGCTCCTCAGTTTTATGACAGTTCTAAGATAATGTCGTCTCAGCTTGAGAACATCTTGAGGGATTGCCTCTACTACTGCTTGCACTCAGAGTATTGCCATGTAATAGCAAAAAGAAAATTATAGGGATCATTGTGATTCCTAACACCCACCTACCAGGTTTGGCTTAGCAGCAGTGAAAATAAACAAGATTTTCTATGCAGTTTTCCTCCTCCTTGAGGACGCTTTGAGCAGTCCCATGGGCTTGCAAGCTGCAGCCATAGGATGACAACACTGTTATTTATATATAACATTGTTATTTATATTTACTACGAGTGTTTTTTCTTCATCATTTTAAGGACAAGAAACTTCATTTCAAAGACTTCTATTTCTGTAGTGCTCATAGATCACTTTGGATTGTTACACCAAATTTATTTTACTGGAACAAAACACTTTATCTTAAGGCATGGAGATTTCTCAACTAAATCCTAAATTAAAGCCTGTCTAGGTACCACAGCCTAAGTTTTTAAACCATCAGAAGAAAAAAAGTGCAAAACACGGTGTTCTGATCATTTGGCAGCTTTAGGTTTCTGGTAGTCAAACCTCACTGTTAAGGTTGAAAACATTGACTGTTTTTAGCAAGTCAAGCACTTTGATTTGACAGAGTTCAAATCAATAAGAATGAAGAACACATCAGAGTAAATTGGTAAAATCACACTGAAATGCTGTATAGGATTCCTTTTCAAAAACACCATGAAACACTTATTTATATGAGTTGATGACACTTTCCTGGTCTACAATCCATACTTCAGCAAGCAAGTAGATTTTTTTTTTTTATGTTCTGCCAATAGTTAACATCCAAGCAGCCCTTAAAAAACATTAATGAATCAAAAACTGTATATTAAGTTGAAAATGTGCTATTTTACAGAGGGAAAACTTAAACAAAAACTATTAGTGAGTACTTGAAAGCTGATGGAGTCGGTTTAGCGCAAATAAATACAGAATTTGACTGGGGCCTGTAAAAATACAGGACACAACGCTGGACACAAAGTGATTTGTAGCAGAGCAGAGGTTAAAGAACTGGAGACGTCAGCTCTATACTTAGTCTCCTAGTTAGTTCTCTACATAAAATATTCTTGTAGATGCTTCTCGTATTACCATGTTTTTCTTTCACAATTTCAGATCATATTTAATTCTATTCAAAACTTTACCGTCTTCATTGATGATAGAGTTTCCTGGTCATCTCTAGAGAGCTTTGTGAGTGCAGCTATTTTAGAAGAATTCATCACAACCTCAGCATTCAGAGCCCTGCATTTCTCCATGAGACGCTTTTCATTTTCATGAGACTTCTTCAAAACAGCATGGAGCTTCTCATATTCTATTCGGAATTTTTCCAGAGTTTTATCTCCCTTAAGTAGACTGATGACTTCTTGGAAGTCTTTTTCCAGTGCTTCAAATGCACTTTCTTCTAGATACGGTTTGCCAGACTTGTCCTGAATGAAATGAGATAGATAATCAACAAACAGCAGGAGTTCAACATCTCACTTATGACCTCAGAATATAAAAAACAGAGTGTGTAACAGCTACTAAGAAATCATGACAAAATTTTCTGAAATTACATTTCTCTTGCTAGTATATGATATGCGCATCGCAGGCTATCTTTCAAACAGATGTCCCCTGATTTCACTGCAGTAAGTTTTGCTTTAACAGAGTTCCTGTAAATGAGTACCACAACTACTTTAAAGACAGGTCTATAAAATATCATCATTGTGATAGTCTTTAAATAATACATCAACTATACGGAAAGCCTAGTATTTTAGCCTCAGTTCTTCCCAGTTCTCTACACTCTAAAGTCTGATTTTTTTTATGCTTTCTATGCAGACAGTTCCAGCAAATCATTCGCAGATAAGTCTGCTTGATCTGGCTCAGTTCTGATGCCAAATGTTGCCAGCTTGGTTGCTGGACACCAAATTCCACCATTAGTTTTCCAAACAGCTTAAAATAAGACTTCGGTGTAGCCAAGAACACAATCCTACCAAGAGGAAGCAGTATGGCCACTTCCTGAAAGTTATCTTGATCTAAGCAGCAAAATAAATCAGCTCACAGGTTGCTTCATGCTGTCACATTACTGCCATTCCTCAAGCTTGCTCAAAACTGACTGGGACATCTGTGCAATGTGAACTTGAGATAAATCCTTATAATTTCACCTCAGAGATGGACTAGCTTGGACAGGAAAACAGCTCTCCTGTTAGCACTGGCCACGGATATATGGTGAACCTCCCTCACAGAGGAGAGGCAATGAGATGCATGGCTCCCACAGCCTTAAAAATCTACCATCATCTCCTCCCCAAAGCAATGGATTGCTGTCGCAGAAATGGTTCAGGCCTCTGCTCACCATCTGAACATAAACTATTTAAAAGTGAGAATTCTAAGTAAAAAAACTATTCTGAGAGTAAAAGGACATGTTTAATTTGTTTCATTGTTGGCTTGTTGAGTTTTTTTTTTCAGGATGGGGGAATACATAAATTCACACTACCTGGAAAACCAGAAATTAAAATGTTAAAAACAGTCAATTATGCCTTGAAAGAAAGGTGAAGCCCTGCAACACACTGGGGCAGAGGCACTGGCTCAAAATCCTTCCTCCTTGCCAAGGCTCTGATTTGATTTTTTTTTCTGTGTCAGAAACTTCAACGAGAAAATAGCCAAGGCAACTGGTATATTAAGACTCTTGCTCAGATGGTCTGCACTCCATGGTCAGAGTTTGGTGCATAACCCCTTCAAACTACTGTGCTCATGGCAATGAATTTAGGGTTCTTATTTCACCCTCCTCTCCAACATCAAAACTTCAGGTTTGATCTCATTTACATTTGTGATCATTAATAGTTAAAAGAAGAGCAGTAACAGCATGAGGGGAAGGGGATGGGGAGGGCTGGAATCACACTCATGATCTTAAAAGTAGCAGGTTTTCCTAAAATTTGCCTGTGTACAAGTAGCCTAATTGCTCCTGCGTTCAACACAGAGTCTAACTGTGCCCAGTTCCCAAAAGCAAGTCGACATATCAGTGTGGTAGATGACATACAGACCTAATGACTGGAGGAAAGCCAGTGTCACTCCAGCCTTCAAAAAGGGCAAGAGGAAGATCCGGGAAACTACAGACCAGTCAGCCTCACCTCAGTCTCTGGAAAAATCATGGAATGGCTCATTCTTGAGGTCAACTCTGAGCACATGGAAGAGAAGAAGGTTTTCAGGACTAATCAGCATGGATCTACCAAGGGGAAATCATGCTTGACTAATCTGATAGCATTCTATGATGTGGTGACTGAATGGGTAGATGCAGGGAGACCAGCTTATGTAGTCCACCCTGACCTTAGCAAGGCGTTTGACACAATCCCCCATAACATCCGCCTGAGCAAGCTCAGGAAATATGAGATAGAGGAACAGGCAGTGAGATGGGTCGAGAACTGGCTGCACAATAGAGCACAAAGAGTGGTGATCAATGATGCCAAGTCCAGCTGGACACCTGTAACTAGTAGAGTCCCCCAGGGATCAGTGCTGGGTCCAGTCCGGTTCAACATCTTCATTAACGACCTTGATGATGGTATAGAGTGTCTGCTCAGCAAGTTTGCTGCTGATACAAAACAGGGAGGTTTGGCTGACACACCTGAAGGCTGTGAGGCCATTCAGAGAGATTTTGACAGACTAGAGAGCTGGGCAAAGAGAAATCTAATGAGGTTCAACAAGAGTAAG